ATGGGCTCCCTCCCATAGTACTTTACAGTCCTCCATTGTACTGCATTATCTCTCACCCCTCTCTCCCACATTTCTGCTTCTGCCCTCCTTACCATCTTTAAACATGCGGACTCCGGAGCGGTTTTTCCCCTGCTTTGAATCAGCTAGGGACATTAGCATGGTGGCAGGGAGCAGGGTGACGAAAGGTCTGTCCAGGGACCAGGAAGAACGACCCACATCAATTTGCAGGAAAGCACAGCCACAATTACCTGGGGAATAAAAGGTTGAGAGGATAGGGTGATGGGATGACAGGGGCTCCCCAGTCTGCAGACAAGGGAATCAGGTGGGAAGAGGAAACTCCTCATTGTAGCTCCAGCTGGAAGCTCAGGAAGGATGACTGATATGTACAGTTGGTAACAGAAGTAGAATGAGACCTCAGCACAAAACATGATGATGTAAAGGTTCACTGAGTTCCTCCCAGTCAGAAACCTCTCAAGTGAAGAGTCCTGCCACTTCCCTGTCCTCTGGCTCTGGCAGAGAAGTCTGTCTCTCTTCATCCTTGCTAGGGAGCCTGGCATCTCTCTGTCCTGACAGAGTTGAGACCATTGGTCTTTATCAGGTTTTTATTCCAGTAAATTATTATTATTATTTTTTTTAGGATTTATTTATTTATTTATTAAAAAAATTTTTTTTTAATAGAGGCATGTTTTATTTATTTATTTATTTGTTTGTTTGTTTTGTTTATACATGCACTGGGTACAGTCAGAAGCGCGGGAGGGTGAGAGAATTCACCAGAGCCAGAGCGGGGAGCAGAGCAGGCAGAAGGACCGAAGTACACTGCTGAGGGGAGCAGCGGGCGGTAGGAGAGGTCAGCGCGCCATGTGGGACCCTCCTCTGGTGGCCGGGGAGCAGCCGGGGATTGAACCGGCGCCGCTGAGGCCGCGGGCAGCTTCGCAACCCAGCGCTCAACCGCTGCGCCACCGGGGAGGCCCTAGGATTTATTTATTTATGCACACAAGAACTGGGGTACAGGCCAGAGGTGTGGGGGGGCGGTGAGAGGATTCATCAGAGACAGAGTGAGGAGCAGAACAGGTGAAGTGACTGAAATACACTGCTGAGGGGAGCTGCGGGAGAGACAGGAGAGGTCTCCTGTACCATGCGGGTAGCTCTCTGGCCAGGGATCGAACTTGTGTTGCAGAGGCTGCGGATAGCTGATAGTGCTGAGACATAACCCTTGCACCACCAGGGAGGCCCTATTCCAGTAAATTCTAAGACCAAACTTCTCAACCCTCAATCCTAAACTCCTATGGCGCCTTCCCAGATAAGCCTGCATAGCTGATCCTCCAACCTCCTCTTGACATGGATATTTACACAGGCATATACATATACTACTTGTTGGCATTTATATCAATGTCCTAAAACTCCACCCATATCACACAGATCAAAGCAGGGCAGATATGTTGCATAATTCAAGGGACACCATTCACATTGAATTCTGTGTGAATGGAACCCTCAAAGATCTCCACCACCACATATCTGACCCAAAGGCAAGGGCCACATCTCATCTTCACAGCAGGAAATCAGGGAGAGCTGATTTCATGAAAAGCCAGATTGATGGGAGACATTTTTGTGGGAAATCTGGAGGGGGATGTTACTCCCATGTCCTCCCACAGAGGCCCCCAGGTCCCAGGGAACTCACTCACCTACATCGATGTAGCCAATGGGCACAGCCTTCTCCAACTGTAATTCCACTTTCAGTTGCCCACTCTTGTCCTGAGGGCAGCTGAGCCAAGGTCTTCTCTGACTGTCTGGGTTTAGCAAGTTCTCCACAGGGTACTTGGGATCCTAAGTCAGAGAGAAGAGGAAAAAAATTAGGAAGTGCACATAGCCCAAGGGATAAAAGGATGCCCAAGAATGAGGGATCCTTATTCTCCCAAACCCTTCCATATAGCCTGATAGAACAGGCACCTGTGGGAGTCCATGGGAACACAGCTATCATCTGCCAAGGGGCTTATAGATCTCTGCTTCATTTACCAGACTCATTTAACCTTCATACTGACTCCTAGGTAGTTGCCATTATTACTGCTTCGTTAACAAATCAATAAACAGACACTTAACCCAGGCCATGAAATCAAATAACTAACCAAACTCAGAACCCCCACCTTTCTGTATCCACGGCTTTTAACCACCACACTATACCATTTCTTTTCATTTATAAGACACTTTCACAGTCATATATTTATCTTCAAAGTAACCCTGTAAGACAGGCAAAGATTTTTATTCTAAGTTTATAACTAATGCTTAGAAATAAAGTGATTTGTTCCAAGGCAGGAGCAGCAATACTGAGAAAAATCAGATATTTTTTTGGTGGTAAGGCCTTGAATAAACTACCTTTTTTTTTTGCTGAATCTAATTTTTTCCATCTGTAAGTAAAGGGAGAGACCAGATTCAAGGTTTTCAATCTTGTTTTCTGTTTTAGCAATTAAGTTCTTTCTTTTAAATGAAATCTTACACTGAAGTGTGTGTGTGTTTTCGAGAAATAAAAGCTGAGCTCAGGTTAAAGCATAGATTAGGAGGCACAGAGACATACTTGTCCTCCCTCCCTTCACCTTCTAGAATTGGGTTCCTGTAAACGATATTGGAAGATACCTAATATTCGCTAACATTTTATAAGGCTAAGAGTCTATGAAGAAGAACCACGTAGACTGACCACGTAGGTTAGGAAGATAAGCATAATTTTAATTTTACTTCACTTTATCTCATCGAGCAAATAATGTTGCTATAAAACACAAACTTATCCCACCCAAAGTTGAGAAAGACTAGGATAACAAAAGGGAAAGAGTGAAGAAAATGGGTAAATGGATAGAGCAATGACAGCAGAGTTAAGGATGGGATGTCCCTAAGAACCACCACACTGGATGAGTCTTGGGCCCAGGGTCCAGGAGCTAGCTATGCCCAGGGTCCAACAAGCTAGCTGAGATATTGTAGGACTTATAGGATGAGGCTGAGCACACCTTTGGTGATGGTGGTAACATGCTCACAGCTCACAAATGACCCTGAGTACCCTGACTAGTCTTTGTCAGAGTGACTAAATTACTGTTCTGGGGACCCCAAACAGACTTTGGACCTATTGCATTGCTAATTCCCTCCAAACTACAGGTGGAATCATAAGATTGTTTCCCCCATTACCTTAACGCCTGGGAGCGCTTCTTTCATGCAGCCTGGGGAAAACCTGAGGGAGGGCTATGCATTCCCTCTTGATGCTGGACTCTCAAAGAAGGGACACTGTCTTTTCTAATGGATTAGGAGTTCCCCAAATCTCTTAATTTTTTTACTCCTTTCAGTCACCAAGAAAATACCATGGCTGCTAATTAATATACCTGAGAGGAAAATGATACCACATGGGTAATCTTCACAGGAGCCATGACAGACCCAGCAGATGTCAAATAAAAGGCAAATATGATGCTTTCTTCTTAAGACTTCTTCTGTCACCAGTTTGGCACTCCCTATATTTTGGGCTGATCAGTTTCCATAGGAGAAGGAATTCTCATGTTGCTCCTGAAGAAGAGAGCAAGAAAAAAATAAACTAGTTATGTTTGTCTGCTAACAGGAGTCATTTGCAGCCATCAGTCAGACTGTTTCTGATGACCCCCAGGACTGGGTCAGGGGATGGGTAGGAAGCAGATCTGGGCCAGCTGATTAGATGCCAATAAAGGTGAAACAACTAGAATGCAACCACTGGATAAGAGAGCAGCAAATACATAATGAAAATATTAACATGTTAAAGTTGGATTTATTTATTTTAAGATTTATTTATGCATACAAGAACTGAGGTATAGGCCAGAGGTGTGTGTGTGTGTGTGTGTGTGTGTGTGTGTGAGAGAGAGAGAGAGATTCACCAGAGACGGAATGGGGAGCAGAAGAGGCAGATTTACTGAAGTACACTGCTGAGGGGAACAGTGGGTGAGACAGGAGATGTCTGCTGCACCTTATGTGGGTCAGCTCCCTGGCTGAGGATCGAACTCATGCTGCAACGGGTGGCAATATTTGACAGTGCTGAGAGTTTAAGCCCAGTGCAACCAGGGAGGCCCTAAAGTTGGATTTATATACAGGTGAACTCCCAGTGGCATGAATGTGTACCTTAAATCATTCATCTTTATAGCCCTAGATCTGATCACATAGTATGCATGTGCAACACTGTTTTAACTAAATATATGGTACAAGTCTCATTTATTTTCCTTCCCATAAAATGAATCTTTCTAAATCTGCTTCTCATTAAGTTATTCTTCTATTATAAATCTTCAGTGCCTTGCTGATGTACGCAAATCCTTTGCCACTTGGTATAAATGAGAACTTACAGTCTGTTGATTGTGAGGTGGACCACAATCCTGATTCTATCAGAAAAAGATGCAGTAGCAAAGTGTTTGGAAGGCTGGTTCACAATGTGAAGAAAAGTAAAAGTTGATTCCTACCTCGTAACATATTTTAATAATTATAATCAAATGGATCCAAAGTATACACTCAAATGAAAAACAATACTTTAAGGGCAACACAAACATGGTTAAAATACAAATGACTGCAGAGAGTTCCCGCAAAGCTTTTCAGTTCTCAGCTCCGGGAGCCTAATCGCGAGGCCACTTCTTTGATGCCACCCCATCTTTCGGCCACTCACCTTCCCACCAACAGCCCTCAGGGCTCCTCACCCGAGACGACAAACCGCGCAGAGTCACCGCAGCGTCAGATCGCGGGTCACAAACTAGTTCTCCCGCCAATTCAGCCCTCTGACCTCCGCCTTCTGACCCCGACCACACACTTCCGCCTCCCAAAGCCTGAGAATTCATTCTGGGACCTCAAGAAGCCATTATTTCCGAAGAACGACCCTCACCGAGGCAAGAGGCAAGAGCATTTCTTACTGCTGTAGACAGTAAGAAAATACACGTGTTTATATATATTTTTTCTAACCACAAATCTCTTGCCCAGAGCGCGGAAGTTAGACTTCCGGGTCAGATTGACTGCATGCTGGGAAATGTAGTCCTCAGCCCTTCCACGCCTCGTTCCAGGGAGCCCAGAGTCAGGGAGCGTCGTGAAAGTTGACGGTTTAAGAACACTTCTCTCTGGCTCTCCAAAGGGGAGAACTGGTGAAGTATTTACCACGAAAATAACACAAGCCCAATTTCTCATTTTCAAAGAACGCGCCTCCGCCGAAGCTTGGAGGTGCGAGGTAACCGTCCCTCCTTGACCTCTAAGCGAGTAGCAAGTGGACGGTCTCTTAGCGGCTGTCAGGTCACCGCCTGCCTTAAGCCCCGCCCCCTCTGCCGGCGCCGGCGCCTGCGATTGGCTGGGGCCCCACTAGCGGCGGAAGCAGCTGGCTCGCGCGGGTAGTCGGGGGAGGGGGAGAGCCGCGAAGATGGCGGCAGTCGTGGAGCTGGAGGTTGGAGGAGGTGCTGCCGGGGAACGGGAGCTGGATGAGGTAAGAGTTGAGAGTCGAGGACAGGAGAGTTAGCGTGACACTGAAGGAAGGTGTCGGGAGGCATCAGGAGTGCGGGTCCTCAGAGAGAGGGGACCCTGCAGCGAAGGAGCCAACTGGGGGGCGGGTGCGCGGAGGGGGAAGTCGGGGACCCCGGCCTCGGGGACGCTGAGGCAGTCGTGGGGAGTGACTTCAGGGATGGAGATGAAGGGCTGGGAGGGAAACCAGAGGGGTGTGTGTGTGGGTGCGGTTTTGAGGTTACAGTAGCTGGGAATCCTAAGGTGGGACCAGAGGCTGAGAGGGAGCTTCAGTTGAGGGGCGTTGAGTTGGGCTGGGGAAGGCTGGGCTTTCTCGGGGGGCGGCCGCCGTCCAGCCTCACAGCGGGGTTTGGCGGCTCGGACCGGGCAAGAGGGCTGATCAACTAGTGTTATAGCTTCGAGTTATTTATCTGTACGCTCTAGGACTTTGTACATAATATGTGCTCAGTATGGTTTTGGTCAACGAATGAAAAAACGAATTGATGAATGAATGCATATCGAAATTCATCCATGTTCACTTATTTAACAAACATGAAGCGTCACTTTTGTGCCCAGTCCTGGGCCAAGTGTTAGGAACCCCGAGGGATCTTCTTGAAGAGCCCACCATCTAGTGGTGGGAGACGCCAGAAACTGATGATCACACCTGGTGGTAATGGTAGCGCTGAGAGAGACCAATTCCATTTGAACTAGGGAAGGCTTCCCAGAGGAGCTGAACCTTAAAGGAGTACGTGATTCTCTCCTTCTGGACTTACATGAGTTCTTTGAGGGTGAGCTCCTTGAGCATATACGTCCCCTTCACCTTTCTAATGCCTTTTAGCGACTGGCGTATTCAATTAGTAGTCCTTGCAGGAATCGTTAGGATGAAGGAGACCCTGAGTTTGAAGGGAATAAAGCACAGCGCTGAGAAGCAGAGAGAGGAGGCGAGGCAGGAAAGGGTAAAGATTCTGAGGCCAAAGGTGTATTCATAGCTAGATGTGCTTGTGGCTTGCACATGTTGGAGTATGGACAGCATGGGAGAAAAGGAGGAAGGGGACTGTTTGTTAAAGATGGAAGTGGTGTGAACTCTGGGGGATAAGACTCTTAGAGACCCTGGCTGTGTGTTGGTAGTGGGTGGGAAGGGTTGGAGAAAGGGAGTAGAAGTGACCCTGAGAAGCAAAGCCTGCTGCGTGATAATGGGATGACTTGGAGGATTTGGTTTACCTGATTGAAATCATTACGATAGGTGGGGGGTGGGAAGAGGAGGAGACTGAGAAACTTACAGGTGGGGGTTGGGAGAGGAGGGTGTTAAAGAAGCATTTTAGTTTCCTACCTGCCTATCACAAGAGACTAGAGATGTTTGGATACCACTCAGTGGGCACGGTAGTTGTGGAAATGACCTCCAGGATCCCTTCCAGCTTTATGTTTCTGTGATTACTGTTGGCTTTGGTTCATTGAGCCATATTTGAAAGCACCTTGAAAGAGGTAAATACTGTTTTGGAGTTTCGGTTTGTTAGTCTGTGGGCTCTCCTTTGAGGGAGTCTGATTGCAGTGTCCTATATCAAGGTTCATTGAGATAAACACCAAGATTTGGCAGAGGAGAAATTTAAAGTTTTGATGTAAGACATTTTTTATGTAAAACATTTTTCTTCCCTTATTGTTTTAAGAACTTCAGTGCTTCTAAAAGCATAATATAGGGCCTCCCCGGTGGCGCAGCGGTTGAGCGCTGGGTTGCGAATCGATCCCGGCTGCTCCCCGGCCACCAGAGGAGGGTCCCACATGGCGCGCAGACCTCTCCTGCCGCCCGCTGCTCCCCTCAGCAGTGTACTTCGGTCCTTCTGCCTGCTCTGCTCCCCGCTTTGGCTCTGGTGAATTCTCTCGCCCTCCCGCGCTTCTGACTATACCCAGTGCATGTATAAACAAAACAAACAAAGAAACCAGCAAACAAATAAAGCATGCCTCTATTTAAAAGTTCCAGAGTGTTGCTTGAGGAAAATATAATTCGTTGTCTGTAAATTCTATATGGGTTGGTTGTATCCTTTGTCTAACTCAGAAGCAGGAAGTCCGATATTTCTTCAGGTTTCACCCTACCCTCCCAAAATAGGGGTCTGAGCTGGCAGACCTTAGTTTGTGTGGGAGTGTCTACTGATGCATCTCCAGCTGTTTTTCATCAGCTTCAACTAGTGAAAGGCAAAATCTATCATTTGTAATTATGGGGAACTACCGTGTGTTATGAACTATGAACGGGATATGCAAAAATGAGCACGAATAGCTCTTTACTAACTTATATTGAAGAGACATAAAAATGGCCCATTACAATTCTAGATAATTGATTGCTGTACTGTGTTGTAACAAGCACATTGTAACATAGGGGACAAGCACTTGAGTCTGCTAAGGGGGGGTCAGTGAAGTCTGCTAGAGATGGAACGAAAAATTAAAGGTTAGGTTACAGAGAAGCAATGATTTGCATGTGGCATAAGAGTTGCTATCCTATAGCACTGTTTGGTTGATAAACGATTGCAGAGCTCTGATTATTATACTAGGATGCAGTTGGTGTGCTTTTCCATATGTCTGGAAAGATTGCACATGCTGTGGTATGATCAGGATTTTGTACCTATGTTTTCTATTATCAGGATTTTGTAGATATGTTTTTATTATCAGATGCCATTAATATGATAGCAGCATCAGCTGATTCACACTACTTTCCTCCTCTCTTGTCTTTTTCATTATACTTTCCCTAGTAGTTGAAGCAATTTTAATTTAGTCTTTGCTAACTGCTTCTGTTTTAGAGAGGTGGATAGAAAAGGGGACATAGGAAAAAATTTAGGAAAAGACTGCTGTTTATTGAGCCCTTACCATAAAGTAGCACTTGTTTAAACAGTGCTTAAGTAACTTTCGTAGGAGTCCACAGTTTGTGAGTGGGGAAGTGCAGGTTCAAACCCAGGTCTGCCTGTACAATATTAGCCCATGCTATGTATAGCTTCCCTTGGTTCCATTTCTCACTCTGGACTCTGCTGGCAGATAACTTACAGCTGTGTTGCTTGATTATTTTATATGTGAACATTGATGCAGTACTTGTGATGAGTTTTATTAGCGTCTCGTTTTATTTCCTATTTATAACTGAAGGAGTTAGGATTCAGAGCAATTGAGACATGCCGAGGGGCATGCAGGTCCTTTAATTTATTGGTAATTTGGTTCTGCTGAACCTCTGTGGTCCCGTGGGATTAGCCGAGTGGTAGGGAAATGAGGGATAGATACAGCCAGCTCAGACTGGGAATTAAATGGTTCTGTGATGACTGACTGAGATCAGTTCTGTCAATTTGCCAAACAGAGTGCTTGAGGGTGTTAGGTTTGTAGTGCCAGGAAGGCACAGTGCAGGATCTCTATGATCCGGGCAGATGGGTAAAGGAGAGTCCTGGAGCCTTCAGTGGCTATTTCAGGCTTTTATTGAGCTTTTTACACCATTTGTAGTGTGGCACCCAGGTACACGGCAGGCAGAGGGGCTGGAGGTTGGGAGGGTAGGGGCAGGAGGCTGGCGGGCCTCCCAGCCCCCCGCAAGTCTTCATTCTTCCTGGGCTCTCTGGCTTCTCTCGTGGTCTCTGCTTCTCCTTTGCTGCTCTGCTCTCGTTCTACTACTCTCGTTCTCCTCTCTGCTAGTACCCCCGTGACGCCGCCCTTGTCAGCCCAAGTGTGCCCACCTGTGCATGCCCACACCCTACTCCAGGTGTCCACCATCAGGCACATGTGTAGGACCGCAGGGGTCTATCATTAATGCTAATGGCAGGAGGGCAGAAAATCCTGATAATTTTCACTTACCCCACAAGGATAAAACCTGGTTATGAGCTTCGCAGGAGGCCCAGAAATAAGTGCTACTTGTGAGCCAGTGAATTACTCAAAGAGGTAGCTGGCCATCCTCTGAGAGGATTTAGAGGCATCCTTTTTTTTTTTTTTTTTTTTAATAGAGGCATGTTTTTATTTATTTATTTATTTATTATATTTGTTTGTTTTGTTTATACATGCACTGGGTACAGTCAGAAGCGCGGGAGGGTGAGAGAATTCACCAGAGCCAGAGCGGGGAGCAGAGCAGGCAGAAGGACTGAAGTACACTGCTGAGGGGAGCAGCGGGTGGCAGGAGAGGTCTGCGCACCATGTGGGATCCTCCTCCGGTGGCCGGGGAGCAGCCGGGGATCGAACCGGCGCCGCAGAGGCCGCGGGCAGCTTCGCAACCCAGCGCTCAACCGCTGAGCCACCGGGGAGGCCCAAGAAGCATCCTTTTGATACAAAGAGCTGGCTTGATAGAAAGGCACTTCAACATCCAATCACGGTCAGCCAGTCGGCCCAGCCAGTGTCTGTAAATTCTGGATGTGTCTTCTCCCGGTGCTTGTTCATCTGCCACTGTAGGGGCAGGAATCACACAGGGCAGGTTTTCTGATCCAGCAGTCCAGGTAAAGGAGGAGTCCTGGAGCCCTCAGTGGCTTTTCAGGCTTTTATTGGAATTTACCGGGTACGTGGCAGGTAGGGGTGCTGGGGGGCCGGGATGTTGGCAGGCCTCCCAGCCCCCAGCAAGTCTTCACTCTGGGCTCTCTGGCCTTCTCTCACATTCTCTCTGCTCTTCTCATGGCTCTGCTTCTCTCTCGGCTTCTCTGCTCCTCAGCTTCTACTGCTTCTCTTCTCTCGGCTTCTGCTGGCGTCTCTGCGAAGCCGCCCCTAAAAGCCCAGTCTCAGCCCAGGTGTACCCAC